ATGGCACGATCTCGGCTCACCGCAACCTCCGCCTCCTGGGTTCAGGCAATTCTCCTGCCTCAGCCTCCTGAGTAGCTGGGATTACAGGCACACGCCACCATGCCCAGCTGAATTTTTGTATTTTTAATAGAGACGGGGTTTCACCATGTTGACCAGGATGGTCTTGATCTCTTGACCTCGTGATCCACCCGCCTCGGCCTCCCAAAGCATGTGTACTTTTAATATTTTCCTTTCCAGAAATCTAGGATACCTGACACTGGACCTTTGGGAAATTCATCATTATTCATACATTTTGATGGAATATAATATGTTTATTTTCTCTAAATTATAGTTTCATAAGTAAAAGCCACAGATTTGATTTACCTACCCTATCTTCTTTACTGATGAAGCTGAAACTACTTTGTGATAACTCTTGTCCCAGATCTTTGTGTTAATTACCTGACAAAAACCAGTAAGCCAGTGACTTCTTTTTTTTCTTCTTTATCTCTTTTTATTGACACATTTTAATTGTATGTATCTAGAGAGTAAAATTTGATGTTTTGATACATACATACATTGTATAATGGTCAAGTCAGGGTATTTAGTATATCCTTCCCTCATGAATGTATCCTTTCTTCCTGGTAAGAATGTTACAAATCATCTAGTTATTTTGTAATAAGTAATAAATTACACCTTACTATTAACTATCTTTACCCTACTGTGCAATAGGACACCAGAACTTATTCCTCCTAATTGTAACTTCATACCCTTTTACCAACCCCCCCCGCGGATTCTCCCATCCTCTCTCCCTTCCCCAGTCTCTGATAACCACTGTTCTACTCTCTGCTTCTATGATAGCAACTCTTTTTTTAAAAAAAAAAATTAGATTCCAGATATTAGTGAGATCAAGCAGTATTTGTCTTTTTGCGACAGGCTTGTTTCACTTAACATGATGTCTTCCGAGTCTGTCCATGTTGTTGCAAATGGCAGGATTTCATTTAATTTTGTGGCTGTATTAATAGTATTCCATACTATGCATCAAAAATTGTTATATACACCAAATTTATTTTTATTTTTTAAATTTTTATCTATTTTATTTTTTTATTGCATTTTAGGTTTTGAGGTACATGTGAAGAATATGCAAGAATGTTGCATAGGTACACACATGGCAGTGTGATTTGCTGCCTTCCTCCCCATCACCTATATCTGGCATTTCTCCCTATGCTATCTCTCCCCAACTCCCCACCCCCGCTGTCCCTCCCCATTTCCCCCTGACAGACCCCAGTGTGTGATGCTCCCCTCCCTGTGTCCATGTGTTCTCATTGTTCAACACCCGCCTATGAGTGAGAACATGCGGTATACAGCAAATTTTTTAATCCATTGATTCATTGTTGGACATTTGGGTAGATTCCATATTTTGGCTATTGTAAATAGTGCTGAATAAACATGGGAGTGCAGACATCTCTTTGACATTGATTGTATTCCTTTGGATATAGACCCAGTAGTGGGATTTCTGGATCATATGGTAGTTCTGTTTTTAATTTTTTGAAGAATTTCCATACCGTTTTCCATAGTGGCTATACTGATTTACATTCCTACCAGCAGTGTGTAAGTGTTCCTTTTTCTCCACATGCTTGTCAACTTTTGTTATCCCTTGTCTTTTTAATAATAGCCACCCCAACTGGAATTAGGTAGTATCTCATTGTGGTTTTGATTTGTATCTCCCTGATGATTAGTGATATTGAGCATTTTTTTTTGTTTACCTGTTGGCCATTTGTGTGTCTTCATTTGAAATATGTCTATTAAGTTATTTTGTCCATTTTAAAAATTGGGATATTGCTGTTCTTTATATATTCTGATATTAAGCACCTATCAGATGTATAGTTTGCAAATGTTTTCTTATATTTTGAAGGTCGTCTCTTTACTTTTTTTTTTGCTGTGCAAAGCTTTTCAATTTGTTGGCTGTGATTTTGAGATCCTATTTAAAAAATCCTTGCCCAGTCCAATGTCATAGTGTTTTGTCTATGTTTTGTTCTGGCAGTGTAATAATTTCAGTTTTACATTAAAGTCTTTAATCCATTTTGAGTTAATTTTTTTATATGATGAGAGGTAGGAGTCTGGTCTCTGCAAGTGGATATCCAATTTCCCAGCACCACCATTTATTGAACAGACTGTCTTTTCCCCAGTGTGTGGTTCTTGGCACCTTTGTCAAAAATTAGTTGGTTGTAGGTGCATGAATTTATTTATGGTCTCTCCATTGTGTTCCATTAGTCCATGTGTCTTTTATGTCAGTACCATGCTTTCTCAGTTGCTGTAGCTTTGTAGTATGTTTTAAAATCAGGTGATGTGATGCTTTTAGGTTTGTTCTTTTTGCTCAGTATTGTTTTGGCTATTAGGGGTCTTTCTTGGCCCCATTTGAATTTGGATGGTAGGGTATTTTGCTAAAAATATGATATTTTGCTAGACATTGCACTAAGTCTATAGATTGCTTTGGGTAGTATGGCCATTTTAACAATATTACTTCTACCAATCCATGATCATGGGATCTTTCCATTAGTTTGTGTCATCTTAATTTTTTTCGTCAATATATTATAGTTTTCAGTGTAGAGATCATTTACCTTTTTTGTTACCTTTATTTCTAGTTATCTTATTTTTTTGTAGCTGTTGTAAATGGAATTATTTTCTTGATTTCTTTTTCAGTTAGTTCACTTATTAGCATATAGAAATGCTGCTGACTTTTGTGTATTGATTTTTTATCCTGTGACTTTACTGAATTTATTAGTTCTAACAGTTTTTTGGTGGAGTCTTTAGGGTTTTCTCTGTATAAGATTATGTCATCTGCAAACAAGGACAGTTTTACATCTCCTTTACAATTTGGATGCCTTTTATTTCTTTCTCTTGCCTAATTGCTTTGGATACGATTTCTTGTATGCAGTATATCATAGACTGAATAAAGAGAGATCAACAACTTTTTTTATACGTGTGTTCAATATTGAGGATGTTCTTTTGTCCTTTATTTTACTAATCGTCTCAGTTTCCTTTCTTTTTTTTTTTTTTTTTTTTTACGGAGTTTCGCTCTTGTTACCCAGGCTGGAGTGCAATGGCGCGATCTCGGCTCACCGCAACCTCCGCCTCCTGGGCTCAGGCAATTCTCCTGCCTCAGCCTCCCGAGTAGCTGGGACTACAGGCATGCGCCACCATGCCCAGCTAATTTTTGTATTTTTAGTAGAGACGGGGTTTCACCATGTTGACCAGGATGGTCTCGATCTCTTGACCTCGTGATCCACCCGCCTCGGCCTCCCAAAGTGCTGGGATTACAGGCTTGAGCCACCGCTCCCGGCTCAGTTTCCTTTCTTACAATGAGTTTGTTCAGAATAAGGGAATGCATGGTAGGACAGAGTGGTGGTTAAAAGTGTAGACTCAGGAGTCAGAAGCCTCCTTTTCCAAACCAGTACCATTGCTGATTATTATTAACTGTGGATTACTGTTCTAACCTTGAAAAATTTTCTTACCTTCTTTAAAATAAGGCTTTCTTGCTTAAAAGGTGGAATAATAAGAGTACTTCTTTTAAGAGAATAGTTGTTAGAATTAAATAATGCATGTATTGTACCTGCTATATAAAAGCTTGAATGATTGATAGCTATTATTTAATTATTGTGTTCATTATAATAAGTTGTGTTAGTCCTCAATTTTTTTTTCCTAATTTGAATAAGAATGGTGACTTTCTTGGGTCATACAAATGCATACAAATGCATTGCCTTTGTAAAGTAAGATTTATTTGTATTTCTCCTATGGAGAGTTTTTTTTATAGCATCTCCTATTTTTATTCCTGGGGTTTCTTTTTTGTCATAGAGCCTATACAGGCTCCCGTCTCTAGGAAGCAGAAGCCCAAGTGCCTGGGCTGTGGGAGAAGCATAATTCAAAATCACTGTATTTGGAAAGACTGAGTTGCAAGACAAGTAAACCACTAATTGAATTGTCATTCTAAAAGAGCTAAGGCAGAGAGTGGGAAACCACATTAGAGTTGTTAGGTTTGAAACAGAGAAGTACAATCCTTAAGCAATTTTCTGAGCCAGAACGAATATCTGAAGTCTCTTTTACTAGAGCATTTAATGCTTCAAATATATGCTGTTAACACTTTCAGTTATCTTTTTTCATATGGTTATTTGTATTCCTAGCAAACTTTTAAAAGGGGTCTACAGAAATAGAGACCCCTTTATGTTAAGCATGATATTGTCAAAATAGTATAAAAAGCTTAAAATGTTTACTTAATAAAATTTATAGTTACTTATGTTGTAGTTCTCTAACAGAAACATGAGTTTTCTCTTCAACTCTTCCTACTTCATGGCAGTTTTTCCTCATTTCTTTTTTAGGGTTAGAAACATCAACTGGAATCAATTTGCATTTGAAAATTAGATCAACACAGAGATTGATATTGTGGAACGACTAGCAAACAAGCAATGTCATCTAACGAACAAGAAAGGCTCTTGTGTTATAATGGGGAAGTCCTTGTTTTCCAGTTGTCTAACGGAAATTTTGCAGATAAAGAACCTACAAAAACACCCGTATTACATGTCAGAAGAATGGTATTTGACAGAGGAACAAATGTATTTGTTCAGAAGTCCACTGGACTTTTTACCATGAAGGAAGAAAACTCTCATTTAAAAATCATGTGTTGTGACTATGTGTCAGATTTCAGAACTGGAATTAATCTCCCTCACATTGTGATACAAAACAGTAAAAAGAATAATGTTTTTGAATACTTTTTACTAATTCTTCACAGTACCAATAAATTTGAAATGTGTTTGAGTTTTAACCTAGGCTATGAGATTAAGGATAGCCTAAGGGTCCTTAATGGCCCTTTAATTTTGTGGAGGCATGTCAAAACATTCCTCTTTATCTCTTCTCAAACTAGCAAAGTTATTAGTGTGTTAGGTAACCTTTCCTCTATTCAGTGGGCAGGGGAGATTGAAAATTTAGGTATGGTTTTATTGGGACTAAAGGAATGTTATTTATCTGAGGAAGAATGTACTCAGGAGCCTTCAAAATCAGATTATGCAATTTGGAATACCAAATTTTGTGTATATTCTCTTGAAAGTCAAGAAGTAATAAGTGATACATACATTATTCCTCCTGCTTATAGCAGTGTGGTGACTTGTATACATATCTGTGCAACTGAGATCATCAACAACCAGTTAAGAATATCTCTTATCGCCCTTACTCGAAAGAATCAGCTGATTTCATTTCAGAATGGAACTCCTAAAAGTGTGTGCCAGCTTCCATTTGGAGATCCTTGTGCAGTTCAACTTATGGATTCGGGTGGAGGAAACCTCTTTTTCATTGTATCCTTTAGGTCCAATAATGCTTGTGCTGTATGGAAAGAGAACTTTCAGGTATAATACTTATTGCCATAATAATTCTGTTGGTGGTCTCAGATGTTTGAAACATTTCTATACTTTGTAGAGTTCCTTCTGGAGTCGTATTATCTAAGTCAATTTTCAGTTCTGTACTTGATGTATATTACAGTGTTCTTTTTTCTTAAAGTTGATATAACATGCTGGTGTTTTTTTTGTCTTGCCATTTTGAGTCATAAAACCTTTGAGTTGTTTGGAAATATGTAAATACATATGTAACTATAATTAAGTATTTATTTGTTTTTTGGTATAACTTTCTAATTTTTATTAATATGATAGTAGATGTGTATTTTTACTTAGAATAAGATTATTAATGATTTGACTAGATAGATAAGCCTTCCTGGAAAATTCAAATCGATTTTTCAACATTCATTCATTCATTCAGAGACAGGATCTCACTCTGTCACCCAGGCTGGAGAACAGTGGTGTGATCTCAGTTCACTGTAGCCTCTGCCTTCCAGGTTCAAGTGATTCCCTTGCCTCAGCCTCCTGAGTAACTGGGATTACAGGCATGTGCCACCACGCCTGGCTAATTTTTGTATTTTTAGTAGAGATGGGGTTTCACCATGTTAGCCAAGTTGGTCTCTAACTCCTGGCCTCAAGTTATCCACCTGCTTTGGCCTCCCAAAGTGCTGGGATCACAGGCCTGAGCCACCATGCCCGGCCAACTTTTTAAACATTAATAATTATGTATTTAAGTTTACTTCTTGTTTCTGGTTTATTTCTGAAAGTGAAATATAGAAAAATTCCTTGAAATCTATTACTGTTTCTGGAGAGACAAATAATTTGTTCTCCAGAGACAAGTGGTAAGCATTACTTTTTCTAAAAACTTACCCAGAGAACTTTAATTATGTTATCTTTTGAAACGCAGAACTGACTTTTCAGCAAGTATTCACTTTTAATGTAAGGTTTGGAAATTGCTCTAAAATATTCACTAGTATTGAGTGTTAAATAACAGGTAAAAAGGCACAGAAAATCAATAGGAAATTAGAGGTTTGTAACTGCGTGTCGCTACCAATAATATTTCTCTGATTCTGCTTTTTTTGGTAACGTTACATCCTCCTGGCTTAAAATGTATTTAGTTATGTGATTTGAAGTGTTTATGAATTAAGATAAATCATAATTGCTAGTTAGAAATGTCTCTTCCAAAACTAGTACACTATGCAATTTTTAGTTTTTGTGCTACTTGGGAGAAAAAAGCAGATATTGCCTTATTTTGTGTGCCCTGTCCATTTAATTAGAAGCTTTATATGGAATATTGTTAAATGTTTTAGAAAGTTTGAAATTCATTTTTAAATGTGAATCGTTATGGTTTATGTGTCGGGGGAAGGAGTGTCGAGTTAGAATTGTAAATCTGTCTTTGCCTTACCAAGTACTTTTATATTAATAGGAATTATTTTGAATCTCTATAATACATATTTATCCTCTATAATACATAGAGAACACAAAAGGAAAATAATTTGAAAGCTATCCTATTTTATTTTGAAAAGCAGTCTTTTAAAATCACATTATACATTTATTTGAAAGTTATTTGGAATTGTCTTTCTGTTCTCTTTTCCTTTAAAGAAATGGTAGGGGAAAAACATCTGCTATGCCCTATAGTCTTTTTACCGTGGTTAAGGTAACATAATAGAAAGAACACATTTAACCTGGGTTTGAATCCTAACTGAGCCCCACTTACTGGTGTTGCCTTAAGGAATGTAATTCTTGTGAACCCATTTTCCTCCTTTATGAAATTTGGGATCATCCTGACTCAGAGGGGAGAATTAAGTCTGATAACATTATAAAGTATCTTGCACAGAGCTTGGCACACAGGAGGAACTCAGTAAGTAGTAGCAATTACTATGTTAGACAAAGGGCAGGGCTGTCATCAGTTACTTTCTCCTACTCAGGATCCCCTGTTCACCTAGATAAGATAAAAACAATTCCTTTATATGTCATTTATTGTAGTCCTCACTCCCTTGAAGTGGGTCCCCTCCTTGGACCCTGGAAAGCTCTGCCACTAACATGTTACCCAAGGCAGGAGACTACATTATTACCTGTAGGTGGACCTATAACTGCTGCTTCCCTGACCTGAAGTTGTGTCCTAGGGCACTCTCTCTACAGTGTACCACTATCTTTTCCACACATTACTTACCTCAGTCCCTACTGACTTACTCCCTAAGTTGCTTCTTGAGGAATTCTGTACTTCTAACCTGCTCTCAAATGTCCTGTTTTAAAAGCTCTGGAATTACACCCTGATATCTACAAGTAAGTGCTTTGAAGTTGCCTCTAACCTTGCCAGTTTGGGCATATTCAGGTCCTGCTTCTATCTTGGCGTTACATTTATACTCAACTTCTTAAAAAAAAGAAATATAGTTTAAGGTAAAGTATTCAGTTACTTTTAAAACAGAAACAAGGCTGGGCATGATGGCTCACACCTGTAATCCCAGCACTTGAGGCAGCCGAGGCAGGTGGATCACTTGAGGCCAGGAGTTCAAGACCAGCTTGGCCAACTAACACGGTGCACGCCTGTAGTCCTAGCTACTTGGGAAGCTGAGGCATGAGAATCGCTTGAACTTGGGAGATGGAGGTTGCAGTGAGCTGAGATCATCCCACTATACTCCAGCTTGGTCCACAGAGTAAGATCTGTTTCAAAATAATAATAATAATAATAAATTTTAAAAACAAGTAAAAGCTAAGAATCTAGAAATAAAGAGGGAGTAGAAATAATTATGCCAAAAAAACCCTAGGTTAAGAGAAGTAATTACATTTGAACAATTACATTTAGTTTTAGCAGTTAAGACAAAAAAGTAAATATGGTGGGTTTTACAACTGAATGGAACATACTACAAGGTAAAATTTTTTTCTGACATTTAAGTTCTGAGAATTTACTGTTTGTGGTATTTTGTAAAAGATGTTGAGCAATAAGATGAATACCTTATTAAATAATAAGGTGGGTCTTTGATAGCAGTTTTCCCCCCAAATAGCAATAGAACCAGTCTGCTTTTGGGTAGGCTATGGATTTATTCATCCATCTATCCTTTTACTACCTCATTCTAAGAAGGAATTTAGACAGGTTACAAAGGTTGGTAAACTATAAACAAGCATAAATTAAATAATGAAAAGCAAGGTTAGTGTGTTCCCAGATTAACACTTGATCAAAGCCCAAGGTGTGATGTTTAATGTGGTAATAGGACTTGAAACAGAGCTGAATCTAGAGGAATACATGATTAGCTTTTTTCTTCTTAGGATTTCTCTCTTGAGCAGAAATTTTCTCTGCAAGTTTCGGCAAGAATCTATGTGGCAGGCATTTCAAATTGAGGTCGTTGGCTGGGTGTGGTGGCCCACGTTTGTAATCTCAGTGCTTTGGGAGGCCAATGTAGGAGAATTGCTTAAGGCCTGGAGTTTGACACCAGTCTGGGCTACATAGTGAGACCCGCATGTGTACAAAAAATAAAAAAATTAGCTGGGCATGGTGGCATATGCCTGTAGTCCCAGCTGCTTTGGAGGTTGAGGTGGGAGGATTGTTAGAGCCCAGGAGTTCAAGGCTGTAGTGAGCTGTTATAATGCCACTGCACTCCAACTTGGGAGACAGAATGGGACCCTATCTCAAAAAATCCATCTGTCAATAAAATTGAGGTCATTATCAGGTATACCTGAACATAGCTATTGGTGTATTGTCGATAGAGCTTAATGTGTTCTGGTGCTGTGCTGTCTAATATGGTAGCTACTATCCAGATGTAGTTATTCAGCATTTAAAATGTGGCTAGTCAGAATTAAAATGTGTTGTAAATGTCAAGCATCAAATTTCAAAGATTTAATAGATATGGTAACATCTCTCAATTTTTAAATGATTACATTGAATTGAAATGACAATATTTTAGATATATTTTGTTAAATATATTAAAATTTCATCTTTTCATTGCTATCAGAAAATTTAAAATTACATGCCTTATATTTGGGGCTCACTTACCATTCTATTGGATGGTACTATTCTACAGCTATAGATTGCAAATATATGTGTGCACACATGCATGCATAGTTCTGTGCTGTTTCCATGCCAAACACATTCTTATTACTAATGTCTCTTCCCATAGTCCATTATACACCATGATACTTGTGGGAGAAAGGGAGGATATGGCTTTACAAATAAGCTGTTTCTCTGTACAAGCGAATAATCAGCTTTGGAAATTAGCCTTATAGGGCAAGGTTGATATTTGGGCATCTGGATATTGTATCTGCTCCTGGAATTCTGAGTAGGGGTTTTAGCTCTTTTGTCTCAGGGAGAAGGGAGATTTGATCCTCATGGTGTTAGTTTTCCTTGAAACCAATCTATATGTACCTTTAAGAAGTTGCCCTCTATTTTAAATCTGAGGTCTCAGGTTCTGATTTAAACTGATCAAATCATTCCATGAGGCTAGGACGGTTCTGGCTGTCCCACTCTTAGGACTCCTCACCTGTGTACCCGATATTAGCTATATTCCCCTCCACACCCACACCAGGGTTTAACGTTTTAAGCTCATCTGGACTCTATTATAGGTTATTTTGCATTAAGAGCTCTTAAGGTGTCTTTTAGTACTGTCTGGTTACCTAATGTAACTGAATTCCTTGAGTAATTTGATCATAAATATATATCCACTAAGACTTATGGGAATGAGAGTCATCCTTAAATTAGCTGTGCGAAAGAATCTTCACTAAAGTTTGACGCATGATAAATGTTAGAATTTCCAAAAGATTTAGTCATGAAATGTATTAGAATTTATAAATAGATGACAATTAAATTTTAAATATAGAAATCAAGAACATGACAGTCCCTGGACAAACATGAATAAAATCTTAAATCTAAGTACCTTGCTATTTATAAAGTTGTTATAACTCCTTATATTTTCTCATCTCCTAACCTCTTTATTTTATTTCAGTTTTTACTATTTTCATTACCTATTTATAAGATCGAATTTTACAAATTAAAACTCCATGAAACAAAAAGACTTAATTTGTTTATTTCACATTTGATTTTTTCTTGTCTATTCCTCCTATAATGATCCATTTCTTTTAGGTTGCTGCTAAGTGGGAAAAAGTTAGCTTGGTATTGATAGATGACTTTATTGGAAGTGGAACTGAACAAGTACTCCTACTTTTTAAGGACGACTTGAACTCAGATTACCTGACTTCATTTAAAATAACAGATCTTAGAAACATAAACTATTCGGTAAGGTCTATTTACTTATTATATGTTATTTTAAGAACCATTTTAGAAAATTTAAGTGTTCAAAAGCTTTGACCTATCATTTAAATATTGGTGATTTTACACTTAAAGTAAATTTTTGAACTTTAAAAATACATAGATTGAAACTTTTAAATATATACATTGAATCTTTTTTCAACAAATGTTATACAAATTGACCATGCTTTTCGTATAAATTTGAATTACAGTGTATCTGGTGCTTACTTAAGGGACAGTTATACTGTAAATTAACTTTATTGTTGCTTCTGAAAATCACATTTTGTACCAATAAATATAATATTGGATTAAATAAGGAATAAAATAAAGGAAAACTGCTTTAGTAAAGGAAGTAACAGCTCACAATATCTTGAGATCTTGGACATATGGGAAATTATGACTTTGAAGTTTTTAGATCAATATGAAATCTCTCTAAGCCTCAGGTTTTTCATTTGTAAAATGAGCATAATTTTTATTTTCTCCAGTTATGGGATTTTAGGATTTTATAAAAAGCCAGTGAGAACCCAGGAATTCAAGGCTGCAGTGAGCTATGGTTATTTTGTTGCACTTCAACCTGGGTGATGGAACAAGACACTGTCTCTTAATTAAATAAATGGGAAAATGTTTACTCTTTAAAATGAAAGCTAATCAGCTGATACTGTGTAAAGCAGTACATAAATGTTAGGTGATAGTATTAGGAATCATAATACTTTTTGTCTAGTTACAAGAAGATGATGGGGGAAATATATAGTTTGCCTTTTTTTTTTTTTTTTTTTTTTTTTGATGGAGTTTCACTCTGTCGCACCCAGGCTGGAGTGCAGTGGTGCGATTTGTCGGCTCACTGCAACCTCTGCCTCCTGGGTTCAAGCAGTTCTCCTGCCTCAGCCTCTCAAGGAGCTGGGATTACAGGCACCTGCCATCATGCCTGGCTAATTTTTTGTATTTTTAGGAGAGATGGGGTTTCACCATGTTGGTCAGGCTGGTCTTGAACTCCTGACCTCAGGCGATCTGCCCGCCTTGGCCTCCCAAAGTGCTGGGATTACAGATGTGAGCCACTGCATCCAGCCTATAGTTTACCTTTTATAGAATAGTGTGTAACATGGGAAACTGTTCTGACCTGATATACTTTAATTGTATTTTGGTAATTTTATGAATTTTCAATTATTTCAAAATTTTAGTTTTAGTGTATTTATTTATTTATTAGAGTGAACCATCGGATTGCAATGAAGATGACATATTTGAAGATGAACAAGATAATCGTTACTTGGTGGTTCCGCCTCTGGAAGCAGGACTGAAAGTTAGTGTCTGTTTGCTTTTTTGCTTTTGCTTTTTGATTAGTGCTATTCTAAATGATGGAAAGAACATTGAAAGAAAGGTCCTTAAAGTTTAAGCAACCTGGTGCTTGGGGAAGAATGGTATTTCAAAGGATCTTTATCTTTTTGGTACCTCTGTATAAACTGTTATGATATTACTTATCAATGTATCATCTAAAAATGATACCTTTTTATAGTGAGACTATTTAGATTTGATAAGTCTCATGAGGGAAAATAGAAGAAACTCACTTTTGAAAACACATTCTTTCTGGGATCAGTATGCCACAGTATCTTTTTTAGAGTAGCAGTGAATATGATAAATCATAATGCATTCCAGACATGAACAGTTTACTTTCATATTTTCCATAAAAAGCTCCCTTAAGGAGTTTTTTTTTTTTTTTTTTCTTAATGTACCAAAGTAATGCACATTCCCTATAAAATACTAAGGCTATGCAAAGAAATGTCAAAACAAAACAAAACAACCTAATGATTGTCTGTGATTCCACTACTTTGAAATAACCAGTTTTAACACTTTGACATGTATATTTTTGAAGATTTTTAAATGAATATATGCAAATTTACATAGAAATGTGATTATAAGATGTATGTTCTTTTGTAAGCTGTTGTTTATGATATTTAAAAATATACAGAAATTTTCCAAGAATACAGTGATTATCTCTGTATCCCCACATACATTCAACTCTTGTTACTTTTAAAAATCTTATTGGCCTCATTTGATTGTGTTTGTGTGTATGTGTATGTACATTTTTGTAGAACCATTTAAAAGTTGCAAATGTTATAAAATTTCGCTCTTAGGTATTTCAGCAGGAATTTTCTAAAAATAAGGATATTCCCCTTATGTAACTATACTACCCTTAACAATGTTAGAAAATTATTAACGATCCCTTAATCTTGTTTGCTATCTTGTCTATATTCAAATGTATTTAGTTGTCACAAAATTGTTTTTATAGCTGTTTTTTTCCAGGATCCAATCAATCAAAGTTTACACTTACATTTGATTATATCTCTTATTGGTCTTTTTATCTAGAGTAATTTCCCCTCCCCACTTTTAAAAATTGCACTGAAGAGGGGGGCCGTGCTAATTGTATCCTCCCTTTCGGATTTGTCTCTTTTCTTGCTGTATTATTTTTTTCCTCTTTAGGGTTGGAAAACTTTTTCTGGAAAGGGCCAGGTGGCAAATATTTATACTTTGCAGGTTGTTTTAAAATTATTTTGCAACTATGTCATTATTAGAGTGAGTTCACTTTAATAAATGCTTGTTGAACACATATTAGACATGAATGTGAGCAGTAGATAAATAAAACATCATAACAGATACAGGTAGTGCTCGACTTACGATGACGGTCGGGACTGCGGACCGGTTGTAACACGATTTGGCCGTAAGTTGAGTAGGCTATATGTACAGTTGAAATGGTGCACGCAGAGATGGTAGTGCTGCCGGAAGCTGGTCCGCACTGTCATACGCCCAGCTGGGCAATGTTTTCGCTGCCAGACGCGGAGCAGTCGTGGCTAGCGGTTGTGGTCTTAAAGTCGAATGGTCGTAAGTTGCATAGGTCGTAAGTCGATCAATACCTGTATAGAACCATGAAAGAAGACTTTGATCTATTAAAAATTTTTGTACCCTGAACAAAGTAAAAGTAATAAAAAGACAAATTATGAAAAAAGAAATTGTAATACTTGACAAAATATTGATTTTCTTGATATAAATGTGCATTCTTATACTGTATTGTATTGTTGTGAATGTATAGTGGCCCAACCTCAGAGGAAAAGTTATTATAGTTATTTAATTATAAATTACTTATATCTTTTTACTCTTGCAGTTTCACTTCTAGAAATTTCTAAGGATGGAGATGATTGTTCAAGAATGTTTACATAGTATTTATAAACTACAGTATTGGAACAAATCTAAATATCATTAGGAGTATGATAAGAAAATTGTGATATGTCTGAACCATGGAATACTATGTAGCTGTCAAAAAAAATAGTGTATATTTTTATGCTGATTTAGAAATGATGCCAAAGTATGAAAGCATGATGTTATGAAAGGTTTAATTTATGAAGCAGGATCAACTCTCCTGATTAAAACTGAAAATGATAGATGAAGTCTCCTTTAAAGACCTTCTTAGAAGCTTCAAAAAGCGGACACTGTAAGGATAAATTATCAAATCAAACTTTCAAAGCTGGAGCCCAGAGAGATAAGCAGAACACTGATGCTACTTTTGCCCTGGGAGCATTCGTATTAAACTTAAATTGGTGGTGCCCCAGGCATCTGACAAAAACAAACAGAAAATCCTCTCTGGAAACATACATTCATTCTAGCCCTCATAAATCTCACAAGTAATTTTTCAAAGAAAATGAGCTGTCCACAGAATAAGCACATAAACAAGGCATCATGAGTAATTATTCACATAAAATAACCAAACAGCATTTCTTTCAAGCAAAAACACACTGAAATAAAAAAACTCAATAGGTGACTTTAACAGTTAACTCAAAAAGATTCAAGAGATACAGAGCAAATTAGTGAACCAGAATATATGAGAAAAATCCAGAATGTAGCACAGAGTCAAAGAAAATATGAAAGGCTTTAAACAACGTTAAGGGAAGGAAAGGAGAAATGGAGGTGGTAGATAAGAGATAGTTGAATATCCATTTTGTTTCAAGTATCCACATGTTCACAGTAACTTTCAATATATATAATAAAGTTCTAAACGCTGGAAGGCCTTGTAGAGATGAACAAGTCTACCTTCCCACCATTTTGCACATGATGTAACAAATAGCCAGAAAGGTTAAGTGATTTGCAGAGCTAGACCTAGAGTCCATTTCACTGTTCTTTCTCCCCTGAAATTTGTGTTCCAGTCCGTTACTGGAAGGGGAAATGAGGAGACCAGGACCTTAGAGAAACTTGTACGCATGTACACAGATGTTCATAGCAGCTATTTTTTGTAACACTGCACAACTGAGCATGACCCAAATACCCATGAACTGGAGAATGGAGAAGTAAATAGTGGTAGTCATATGATGGAATACTGTAGAGCAATGGAGGAAATGAACTACAGCTACTAGTGACAACATGGGCAACTCTAAAACCTGATACATGCAGAACAATTCCATTTATAAAAGTTTCAGAAGCAAAACACACAAAAAAACTTATAGTACTCCTTAAGAATTCATGCAAAGGTGGTAAAATTATGAAGACAGGCAAGGAATTATCTTAAAAGGCCAAGATAGTATTGACTCCAGGGGAGAAAGGGCAATTGTGATTGTGGAAGACCCCTGTGCAGCTCCTGGAGTGCTACTTTTTGATTTGGGTGGAGTTACGTGGCTGTTGGCCTCATTATTAGTCTGTAAAATGTTATTTTGTACTCTACATTCTTCTGCATGTATGATAGAGATCACAATAAAGAAGAAAAAAGCAAGGTTCAGTGTCATGCAGTATAATATAATATGCTCCTATATTTGGTTTTGGGTGGATTTTTGTTTGTGCAGAGGAAAAAGCATTCTTTAAGATGCACATGGAAAAGTTCTCGGAGGGTACACATCTATTGGTTGTGCAAATGGCATTGAGCATCTAGGAAGAGAAGGTGAGGTGTACATTCACATCGTTTAAATTTCTTACCATGTGTCTAATTTATTTTTGTAGCTTTATAGCAAAACTTTACAACCAAGATTATTTAACTGCTCTACTAAATCACTATATTGTCCTGGAGTAAGGGACATGTTAAGGAGGAAGAGTGAACACTGATAATTTTTGAGAGTGCAGTTCAACCTGCCAACATATAGTTTTTTCTTCTACTCCTCACCCCTCCGGTAGCTCAGTTGTGGCTACATACCTTTGATGGGTACATCTGCCTCCCCGCAAATAACAAATTACTGAGCGAATGAGTGATGGAGTGAGAATTATGTGCAGCCCACAGAACTAGGTCAACATAAAAAGTTTTAAAATATTAGCTAGACACTTTACATACTTTGTGCAATAAGGTAAGACATAAGAATAATTCAGTCTTTACTCTCCAATTTCTATTCATTGATTAAAAGAAAAAGAATTTACCTGCCTTGAAATGTAATTTAAAAGAAAAGAATCCCAAAAAGTGATGCATTTTTTTTTTTTTTCTGAGACGGAGTTTCACTCTTGTTACCCAGGCTGGAGTGCAATGGCGCGATATCGGCTCACCACAACCTCCGCCTCCTGGGTTGAGGCA